CTATAAGGCAGCAGGCACTTTTCTCTGAATTCCTCTGTCGCTTGCTCAATGAGCGCCTTCTCAAGTCTTCAAGGTTGACCTTGAGGATCGTCTGATTATCCATGTCGATGATTATGGTCCCACTGGGCGTCCTAATCCGTATCGACGGCAAAAAAGTGACGGGGAGCCGCCGGCACACAGCAAGCCGAGAGAAACCGTGTGGAGCAGATCCCGAGTTCTCTCCGGGCTTAAGGTGGACACTGGACCGGATGGTCGTGACCGAGGGCATGCTAGTCAATTTGACCCTGCAATTGACAAGGAGAGAAAATTGATCAGTAATTTAAGGTGGAACATGTCGGTGTTTATCCAGACAGTTCCAAATATATGACCAAGTGGCCAGCACGATAAGGCAATCGACTAGAGAGTCGATATCCAGCATGTTCATGATGTAACGTAAACAAAATAAGCATATCAGCATTTATTATTTACTCGGTTGCATGGACCTAACTTAGCCGATGATCATGAAAACATGCAGAAGATGTAAGGATAGGCGTGTAAGCATACATGTGAGAGACATACTACCTTTTAACTAGGACAAAAGCAAGTAAAAGCATGTAAACAGCCAGTACATCCTCAACAAAGCGGGCGATCGGCTAAAACAGACGATTCCGATGATCGTGTCGCACGGCATACGACCACTCATCCGTTGGATAAAAATAAATCTACAAACAACTAGACTCAATCTATTGTACCGTCAATAGGTTGAATCATCTGATGCAGCATTGACAGTAGGATCCTAGATCAGAGACCAACGGTTGATAGATCTACTTATATCGCAAAGGAATCCTGAAAGCATGTTATGCATGTGGAAGCTCAAGCCATTGGCTAAATAGCCGATGATGACATAGTGGGTGGTTGACGCCATGCTCTTCTTAATAGATAGATCTATTAGCCGACAATATTCAATTTAACACGCTATCAATAGATCGAGTCATCTGATGCAACATTGATAGCGGGGTCATACCGGATACTGGCGGCCAATGAATCTATCTCTTAACAGAACATGACTTTAAGCACCCGCCATGTACGATCAGGATCAAGATAGATTAGTCATCAAAATAGGATCTAACATCAAGAACTGAATTCAACTGTGATGGTAATCAGCAGACGATAGATCAAAATAATAAGACTAACAAATTTCAACCTAGATCGTGCAATTGGTGATATTATATTAAACGGTAAACTATTTAACACAATATCGATAACTTTGATCAATACCAACGTTTATAAGAGATCAGTCATCTGTTGCAGCCTTGTAAAGGTTGATACGAATCGATAACTAATCTATACCGCGATTTGTAAGAGATCAGTCATCTGTTGCAGCCTTACAGATAACAATATACATCGATAACTAACTTATACTGCGACTTACAAGAGATCAGTCGTCTGTTGCAGCCTTACAAGTAATAATACAAGTCGTGATGGATACTCACAAATAAGTTGGAGGTCAGGTCGTCCGATGCAGCCCTGCTTGTCCAAAGAACTCGTCGAAATCTACTCTACTCCTACTCCTAAGGGGTGGCCTGAGCCAAAAAGTAAAGGTACTTGTTTGGTTGATCGATGAGAGATGTCTATTACAATAGCCGGGGTTCAATATTTATACTCGAGGCTTGACTACGAGTCCTGGTCGAACAAGACCGATCACAAAAACTTGGAAAAGAAGGCAAAATTTCCTAAATTATGATAACTTGGACTTGAATATTTCCCTTCTATGAAGTCCGACGTGTTTTCTTCATGTCTCGTTGTCCTTGCCAATGGGGCCCACCCCCTTGATATGATGGCATCATCTTACTTGGTTGATGGCAACTTTGGTTAGCCGATCTTGCTGAATATTTTGGCTTTCCCTTAACATATTTTGACCTCGGGGTCCTTTCTTCTCGAACCAAATTCTAGTGTTAACAACCCTCACTTGATGATGATTGAAAGTTATGGCATGTGGTTCAAAGAAAATCAACTCAAGCGACTCAATTTCATTTTTCATTTGATCTTGAGTTAATAGGTATGTCGTACTATTAAGAGGGATGCATCATGTTGATAGATAATTATTCATAAGTGCTCAAGCCAACCCATGTAAAGTTCGAGTGTTTGAGAGCCAAAAGAGCTAACCTATTTTTGCTGAGTCTGGCAATACCAGATGTGTCTGGTATTTGCCCAGCCACAGTAACCTTCTTGGTGTTCTTGGTTTGGCTCGTCGGGGTTTCCGACAAGAGTCGGAAGTTCCGGGTGTCAGAAGTCCTGGCAATCATCGGGAGTTCCAACGCCTCGCAGCTTTACTGACATTGTGACCGTTGGGGCTGTACGGCCACTACCGGACGATACCGGATGTGTCCGGTATTCGCCAACGGCTACTTAACGGCTATTTTTTCAAATGGGCTATAAATACCCCTTAGCACCTTTGGAGGCTGCTGATTCTGCTGACATTCCCACACGTTTTTGAGCCTTGAGAACACTCTCCAACCTTCTCTTAGTGAGAGATTAATTCAAACTTGCAAAATCAAACTTGTGGGGTGAGTGAGATTCAAAATTGAGAGCAAGCCACCCTTGAGCACTTGTGCATATTTGTTGATCTCATGATTTGCATTTGTTACTCTTGGACTCTTTGGTCCTAGACGGCTAGGCATCGTCGGAGAGCACCCAAGAGGTTGTGGTGTGCCTCAGAAAGTTTGTAACGGTTCGATTCCACCGCCACAAGGGATGAGATCATCTAGTGGAAGGAGAAAAATGAGTTGGAAAAGACTCCGGCTAGAGTGACCTTCGTGTGTCCTCTAGAGCTGACCTTCGTTGGGTCGTTCGCAGCCCCTTCAACGGAGAGTAGGACTCGACGGTGTCCGAACTTCGGTAAAACAAATACCGTGTCTCAATCTCTTGTTTCATTTGGTATTTGTGATCTTGTTGTGTTCCTCGAGCTTGTATACAGGTTGCTAGATAGTGCCTGCAGCTAGGAAGCAAGGAGGAAACAATAGGAGCATTTCGAGGACTAAACTACACAACCCATGAATACCGGACGTGTCCAGTATTTCACCCATGTGCTGATTTTATTCATTCTCAGTTCTAACTCTTGTGTTGCAGGCTTGTGGTTCCTAAACATATTTAGTATTTGTTAGATACTCAGTGGTTGACTCGTGAGGGGTTCATTTATCTGATTTGGGATTTCCAAGACATCGGAAATTCCTTCACTAATCATTACCGCATTTTGAAGGGTTGAATTTTTAGAAACGCCTGTTCACCCCCCTCTAGACGGCATCCTTGGTCCTTTCAGTAAGTCTTTGTTTTTCTTTGGCCGTACTATTAAGGGGTCCAAGGTATTCAACCTAAGAGACTAGGGCCCCGTTCGCGTGCCCTTAAACCCGGCTTATCCGCTTCTTTTTTCATCTGGAACAGTATTTTTCTCTCATAAATTCCTCCAGCATTCCTCCAAACCATCCAAATTCCTTCAGAATTCCTCCAAGTGAACAGGCCCTAGAAGTGAGAGCACGGAGATGCATGAAATGGCTAACACTCACAGACGATAGGGTTGACCCCTGGTGGATTGTCTATTGATTCTGCTCAGTGACTTAGCCCACTAATAATGTAGGCGCCATATGAACCTGCGGAGGACTTCGTGACCTCGGTGGATCATCTGGTGAAGCGAATCTAGACTTAGTGACTAGTTAGCAAACTTAGCGGTGTGCCCTCGAAAGTTAACACACCTTTTACTTTTCTTGGTGATATTCTCATTGATTACATATTTGTTATCAATGACATCCTTCCACAAGGTTTCATCCCCTAGATAGAAGGCACTCATATTCAGAATATGAACTTGAAGAATGCTCAAATTTCCATCATCCTTGGAGAGGCACATATTCGTGGGCACTCTTTGTGATGATATCTATATCTATATCTATATCTATATCTATATCTATATCTATATCTATATCTATATCTGCATTCTATATTCTATATTATATATTTCTTATAAAACCAAACCTCACTCACTTTTCAATCTCTTAATGCAATATCCATGTGCCATCCCCCATTAAAGTGCCATATCATCTCGCACTGTGTCACATCGTATCCTTATAAGTGCCACATCATCTTTCACTAAGTATAGTTACTATTTTCAATCCATCAACACACAAGGCATATCCATATCAGAGTACTTATTTGGCCATCGTCAAATTCTCTTCTAATTCGATTTAATATTCTATTAGCTTTTTCTTAGATTCTTTCTTTAGTTTATCTATTTTTGATGGTCTATCACAACTTTATTTCTAATAAAATCCCGCTGTAATGCATGAGTATTCTTTTAGTTTCTTAACAGTGCCATGCCACAGGAACCTAGCCCAGATTTCGTCCGCTTTTGTAATCAATCAGTCCGGCAGCTCATAGTGTGACAGTGTAAATTTGAGTGCTACTAAATTGTTGTTTTCACATGTCGGCCGCTACCAATACTAGTACTATACGTCGAGCTGAGTAACGTGAGTTTTTTCTCCCACAAAATGTTAGTAAACTGATTAACTTCACCCTTAGTTTGTAAGTTGAATGGCTACGCAGACAGTAAAATGGATCTTCCTGATGTGGGGAACAGAAGAAATCACGTAACGGCTGCATAGGCTACATAAAACGTACAGCCCCCAAATTCCAGACAGTTTAAGGAAAAATTCCAATCATGCCCTGTACAGGGCTTTAGACTCAGTCAGCTGCCGGTGTACAAATGGGTGGATTTCGTGAAGGATCCTGTGCTGCTGTGCTTTTTTTTTTTGGAGGGAAGCCATATGGCGACTTTTTCAGCCAACTCTAACAGTATTTTTCTCTCACAAGCAAATCAGCTAACAAGATTTTCAGCCATGGCTTATCAGCCAAGTTTAATAGGACATTTATTGATTATCAAACATGGTTACATCGTTTACTAGTCTCAAGAATAGAACCAGAGGACTCATCGACCCAAATACAGTTTTCCTTCCAAGATAAAGCTACTCTAGCTAGTTCATGCCCCATCTGGGAGCAGTGCACGGTGTCCTCGTGGAAAATGAGAAGAAAAGGATATTTCCCCACTGCCTCCGTCTCCTTTCATCTGCAGTATATACGTATGGCTCGACAAGACACACATCTATACAAATCGCAACACTGGTAAACTTGCACAGAGTAAAAGATTACACGTCCAGTTCCTTATGCGGGTACAGCTACAGGTCTTTGGCTGGTCTTGATTCCTTTGATAGCTGCAGAATTGCAAGAGGATCATCAATAAAAACTTTAGTAGCGCACGGTTGGCAACATATATTTGATTCCAAACCTATATGGAATTTCAAATTTAGAGCATGAATGACACTGAGAAGAAACCATGCCTTCAGCGTAGTCTGGAGCCCCAAAAACTGCAGAACCAGCAACGATGGCATTCGCCCCAGCTTCAATAACCTGTCATTTAAAGTAAGGAAAACAAATATTAGCACCTAACTAGACTAGAAGATTAGTTCAGGATTATTAAAGTTAAACACAAGTGCCATAAGATAGGTTAAAGTTAAATGCCAGCATGGAAAAAACCTAAACATGTCACCTTGTAGGCATTTGTCGGACCAACACCACCATCAACCTCAATCCAGGGGTTCACTCCCTACAAAAAAAAAACCAAAGAAATTAACACTTCAATGCTTTAAACATAAGGGATTCAGGGCAGTGAGTGAGAATACTTGAAAGGAAACAAAAGGATATACCTTCTCTGCACATAACCTTCTCAATTCTGCAATTTTCTTTACTTGACTCTCGATAAAGCTCTGGCCACCAAACCCAGGATTCACAGACATAATCAACACCAGGTCAACAACTGCATGGAAAAAAAAGTGAAGTATTGTCATTAGATGTCAGGATATGTGAGCTTATCACGTTACTGATGAATGGATGAGAAAAGAGTCAATGTATGCTAAAGCAACTTCAAATATTTTAATGCAGACTTTATGACTACATGCCATGAGCCAAGAGAGTCAAGAGTGTCATTGGTCAAAACTGTCACAAATTATCACAAGCAGCAGCACAATTTGCCTCAATGGTTAAACTGGCATAAAAAATCAAGATCACTAGCTGAATAACAGGAGGGAGCAGCTTGGTTGATGCTTCACATACCGACTCTGAATGGAGTATGTACTTACTCCAATATCAACCTTCAACAGTCATCATTTACTATTAGTTACCAACTACTAGCTATAAAAGTATACATTGCACTCATGAATATACTATAAGGCTTTTGGAAGCTAATCTGGCGATAATAGACATTCCAAACCTGGTATAGTAACATCGACAGATTTTCTGAACTTTACACGTCAACTTTGTCAAGATACCATATATGCTGAAATGAGCATAATGATCTTACCATCAAGAACGTAATCAATTGCAGCGAGTGGAGTTGCTGGATTCAAAACAACTCCTGCCTTTGCTCCTAGACTTTTAATCTGATAGATAATGGAAAGATAACTCAGTTCCAACTTACAGCATGCCACGAGGATAAACGACAGCAGTACACCCCAATGGTTGGGACATTCAAAGATCTGCAAAGGAACTTGGTGGGCCAAATAATCCTAAATCGTAACTAAAGTACAGATAGGAATGTGTTTGGTTGTAGGTCTAACACTAGCAAGTAGCAAATGTGTTCCTATAGCTATAGTCGGAGACTCGGAGCCCAGTAATTAGTAATAGTTCAGCCTCAGAAAACAAACACACACACACACAAAGAAAAACACTCATTATGTAATAGTTCATGATGATTAGCTAAATCCTGAATGAACAAAATACAGTGAGGCCCTGTTCGTTTGATCCCTGAACCAAGGGGTTTGGGAGGGGTTGAGGGAGACTAAATCCTCTACAAGTCAAAATCCCCCTCAACCCCCTCCAATCCTCTTCAATCCATTTGATTCTGAGAACAACCGGACAAGGCCTGAAGTGTTTAAGCAAAATATTCATTGAAGTCATTTGTGTTGCACAGCACCATGCAAGGAAAAAGCCGCATTCATTGTTATATATATCCAAATACATTGAAGTTCCATACTAAATTATATTATCTGAGCATTAACTTGTAAAGAAAAGGTGGTAGAGATGTTTACCTGATTGACTGTTCGGTGCAAATGGATGGTCGATGTTTGTTCACAGTGGACACTAACAATATCAGCACCTGCCTTGATAAAATCAGGGACTCGCTGCTCAGGTTCCACAATCATCTGTGATAAAAATAACCGCATTCATAAGGGGTCAATCAGGAATGAAAGTACTACAGCACATTAAAACCTGACTGGGGCTTCCAGAACAGTACCAGATGTACATCCAACGGAAGATCAGTCACTGGACGCAGAGCATCAACAACCAAAGGTCCAATTGTGATATTTGGCACAAAGCGCCCGTCCATGACATCGACATGAATCCAGTCGCATCCTGCCACCTCCACAGCTTTTACCTAGTAATATGTAAACAGCATGGCAAGATGAACACAAAAAATTCGCCAATTGACATCAAGAAAATGCATAGCAGGGCTTACTCTATTGCCTTATTTGTTGTGAAAGAAGTTGGGAAAAAGTTGCTAATGAGCTGGTGGAACAGGAATACATTGTGTGAGGCCAAATTTGCTGACGCAATGAATGTGGCATTACCAAGCTATTCCTTCAATAGTAGCCTAAGTGCCTAACATGCGTGTAGTACATATTCGCAAGTACTCGTCAGGGCAACAAATCATCTAAGGAAGTGGAGTTTGGTAGAAGGTGGATGACTGGATGCTAGTATCTCAACGGACCTGATCACCAAGCTTGGCAAAGTTTGCAGATAGAATGGATGGGGACACAATGATGTCACTCTTTGAGAACTTGTCAACCCGAGCTGATGCCCTCACTTGGAATGCCTTCCTGGAAACCATAAAAGAAAAGTAAAGAGATAAGCTCATAATTCAGAACCAATGAAGTCATGAACCAAATTACACAGCATCATCAAGTGGCATGACTAGATTTGTTTGCCCATTTCCCCTGCTCTCTAGTTAACAGGTAACACGGAGAAAATATCACTTACAGTAGAGAGCATCATATAGATATGAGAGCTGTTAACAAGCATAAGCAAGCATGATCTATTACATTTCCAGACTCACAAACTCCTCCATATGCGACATCAAAGTAACATAGCCAGTCAGGACATTTGATCCAGAGCCTACAGAGCTCATCACCAGCAACTTGGGGCACACACTGCACCCAACCACCCAACCACCGAGAGACATGGGAGCTGTAATCCATGTTCTGCTTCGGCGACTCCACGGCAGGCCAGCAGGCAATTCGCAGCAGCGGCGCACGGAGCCATCGAGGGCGGCAACGGAACAAGGGATCGCTAGAAACTACTGCCGACGAGGAGCGAGATGCGACTGAATCGAAGAGGCCCGCTCGGTGCTACTACCTCCGTACCTCGCACGCGGGCGTCGACACGGCCAAACAGAAAGCAGGTAAGGGGGGACCAACCTTGGCGTGGAGGAGGTGAGGCCACGACGGTGGCCGATGGAGGCGGTCCGCAGGGAAGCGAAGCTGGAGCAAAGCGACGACGACGGCGTCGCCATCTGCCCACCTCTCTCAATCTATCCCCTGTCTCGGCCTAGCAGCTAGCAGTAGCAGCCACCAACGCTCCCGGCTCTTGGGTTGTTTGGCTTCTTGTTGCACGAGCAGCTCTGCTATGCGAACCGAAACGCTTCGTTCGGGGGCGTAAGCGATTTGGTTTTGTGGGGTGAGGGGGCTACGCAACGCCTGCCTGCTGCGATTGCGATGCGAGGAGAGGAGAGAAGGAGAAGGAGAGGAGGAAGGCCGACGCCAGTCGTTCGTTATCCGCTCGGCGCTCGGCAGCCGGGCCCCGGCCGCAATTGGGAGCCGCCGGGCCACAAGAAATCGCAGCGATTCCCCCCTTCCGCACTGCGCGATTCGTCGCTTTTTTTTGGGGGTTTGGTTTGGTTGGTGGCGCGGCGCCCGAGCCCAACGGCCGCGGATTCGTCGTCTACCTACCCGGCCCGGCCGCAGCCGCGGCGCTCGGTCGGTCCCCTCTTCCTTTCCTGTGCCGCCCACGATTCCGCACCGAAATGCCACGAAATGGACAGGAACAGCATCGAAATCTTCGCGGGGGGGCATCGGCTGTTTTTTTCCCGATTTCTTCCGCTGTGAGTCCTGAGAAAGATTTTTGCTGACGAACATAAGAGGTGAGATCTAGTATCTGCCACGCGACATAACTCCTATCTTTTTCGGGGGTTTCTGGGAACGAAACTACTCATGCTGCAACAGCGATTGTACATTTGTAGTTTCATACAATGTCCTCCCATGCTTCAATCAATGCAACAGCGATTGTACATTTGTACTTTCATACAATGTCCTCCCATGCTTCAACCAAACCAGGAAATTTAGCTATAGTTATAGCCTTATAGGTCCCACGGTGAATTCTTTTTAAGCCCCCTTTGAAATGAAGGATTGAAAAAAAATACAGGAATAGAAAAAACATAAGAATATGATAAAGATTATATGCAAAACAGAGAGAAGCAAGAAACATGAGGTTCAAGTAGATGTTCTTTTCCCATGGTTCTCATGTGAAATCAAGTACAAAGAAAAGTTTGCTACATTTTTCCTGCAGGTAACTCTTACTAACCAAAAGGTGCTAAAGTAACTCAATCCATAAGAAATAAATCCTACATTTTTCCTTTGTTTAAACTACAATCCAAAGGGAGCTTAGTTTCTGACGATCGTAACACATAAGAATGGTTGCTACTACATCAATACTACTACGTCAATAGTTCCTTATATCAGAACGTGTCCGCTCCTGCAACAAGCACAGAGAACTTTGAAGCTGATAATTCGAATTCAAACTACTCCTACCTCAATAGTTCCTTATATCAGAACGTGTACGTTCTAGCCACGAGCAGAGAGAACTTTGAAGCTTACACTTTGAATTCAAACTAGAGTAAGTGTACATTGATTAAATGCTTGGAAGGAGAACAATAGATGAATACCAAATGCGATCTGAGAATTTATTTCAGTGGTATTACGATGTCCAGAGTTCAGACGTAGCATAGTGCGCAAAGTAGGAAAACAAAACATTTATGAGCTTGACTCGCTTGGGTTTCCTCTTTCTCCGCTGCAGCAGTAGAAGTGAGGTAGCTTCACTCGGCCGCAGCACCTGCAAACCAACAGGAATATGTCATAACAGGGATGGGCAACAAGGGCACCATTCTATTAACAAGCAGGAGAGTTGTGTATCATTGTAGGAAAAAAAGAGGTTTACAACCCTTACAAACATCACCTGCACTCACACCATTGCAAAAGTATTTTTCTGAATATTCGTAACACATGCACCATGAAATTGTACTTGTTAGGAACATTCAGAAGATGGAAGTATTTTTCTGTGACAAACTTCAGGAGTTTTTGCTCTAATTATTCTATAATGACATTAAGAAAACCACATGAAACATCAACAAAATATGAAGATAGTCAAGGCAGGAAACTGAAATGTGATAATCACATTCCATATCATGACCAGCGATATATCATATATTCAGTAATTCACAATCAGACTGTTCCTATATGGCATGACAAATGTCTCCATTAATCACCTACTACTGTCTGACTAAACCTTATCTGCAGGTATTAGTCACAGGACATCCTGAAGGGTGAGGATATTGTTAAAAGCACAGTAATCCTCCCGTGCAGCTGTCATGGTTGGACATCGCTACGCCAGGCGTCGCCGCGCACGGGACATCAGGCGCGACGCTGAGCGCGCGGCGCGCGCAACAGACGAAGCTGAAGACACGGACGTGGCTAGTGGCTGAGGATGTTTTTAGAGATAGCTTTCTATTATTAGTTCCTAAATCAAAGGAGATTTGTTACTCCTGTTAGTTGGGCCAATGGCCGCATATATATTGCTGTAATCGGTGAACGCTTGGGTCAAGAAAGAATTATCAATCTATCTTCCTCGTCATCCTCTTAAGCCTACGGCCTGGGCAACCAGCCGGAGAAGACCAAGCCTGCGGCAGGGTTACCTCGCCGGAGAAGACGACGGACCGAGACTACGAGTTGCGCAGTCGAGGGCCAGCTTCCCTAGATCATAGCGCCCTTGACAGCAGCTCTTGGTCACAGACTTACAGGCCATTTAAAGGGAGAGGATCTTGCTAAAAAGTATAGTAGCACAGTTTTTTCTCATCTCATCAGCCCAACAACCGTGTTAAAAAAAACAGAACTACTCTTGCATAGGAAAAAATGATAATAGAGGTATTAGCAAACATAGCTTTTAGATGTACCTGCAACGAACAATCACCGGCACAGGCTTCAAAGCTTTGGGTCCATTCCTCAAACCCTTCTTGTACTTGGAGACCTGAAATAGTATGAGAGTATAAGGGTATCTACCAACATCATTGCCTCGAAACGGCAACAAGCATAAACCAAATAACTAGTTTCTAAAAACTGGGATCCACAATCAATGCATATAATTTTTTTTTTTGAACGCAATGGCAGGAGCTCTGCCTTTCAATTAAGATAGGGAAAAAGAGTTTATGTACAAGCAAAGACACTCCAGATGAGGGTTTAAAGCCCCCTGAAGCAGGTATAGGAGGGAAACATGCACCCCAACGGGAAACAGCAGCTAAACATAAGCGAGTGTTCTCTTCCTTTGCTCTATGTCTTCCTTTATCCTTGCGGCTACTTGCGGCACCGTTTCTATCTCGTTGTTGAAACTTCTCCTATTTCTCTCTTCCCAAATATTCCAAAAGGTGTAGATTACTACCCCGTTTAGTCGTCTACGTTCAGATTTTGGCACTTTCCTTGTCGCCTCTTCCCACCATGCTCTGATATGGATGGGGTCTGCCTGGGGTTGTTGTTGCAGCTGAGTGAAGTTTTCCCAAGAGAGGATTTGATCCCAAACCGCCTTAGCAAAAGGGCAACATAGACATAGGTGGAGGCCGGTTTCTAAGGGACCGTTGCACAGCACGCAGTGTTCTTGGTGTGGCCACTCTTTTGTAGGTTGTGCGCCGTAAGAATTTTATCTTCCACTAAAATCCAGGCGAAGATCTTGCATATGTTCTCCACTTGTGCTTTCCAAATGAGTTCAGTACGGAACAGGACGAGCGAGCCTTTGAATTGAATTATGTAAGCTGAGCGGGTGGAATAAGTCCCATCCTGGGTCCATTGCCAGATGATGATGGAGTCCTGAACGCCCTGTTGCAGGTGCATGTCCTGAATTCGTATCCAAAGGGACACAAATTCCTCTATGTGGACAGCTGAGGTGATTTTCCTTCTTAGCGAGCGCATCCAATTGTTGTTCCAAAGCTCTTGTTGCACTGTTCAGTTTCTCCTTGAAACAAGCCGAAACAAATTCGGGGCTAGGTACCTTGGAGCTTCTCCTTCAAGTCAATTATGGTGCCAAAACTGAGTCTTTGCACAATCACCCAAAGTTATAATGATTGAGGAGTTGAAGAGGAGACGATCAACATTAGTACATGGAAGCTCTGAGCCGATCCAAGGCTTGGAGTCCTCCACCCATTCTTGCCAAAGCCAGCGCAACCAGAGGGCTCTCCCAAATCTATCAAGGTCAGACACGCCTAAACCACCAAGGTCTTTCGGTCTGGTAACTGTTGGCCAGTTAACCAAACAGTGTCCACCATTGGCATTCTCCTCCCCCTTCCATAAGAAAGATCTCCTGATTTTGTCGATCTTCTTCTTAGCCCATGCCGCCAAAGGAAACACTATGAGGTGGTAGGTTGACATGGAGGAGAGGACTGAAGTTACTAGAGTGAGGTGTCCCGCTTTGTTTAGCCATCTTCCTTTCCATTTGGGTAACCTTTGTCCAATACGCTCAATGAGAGGTTGCACATGGACCTTTTGTAGTGATCTAATGTGGAGTTGCAGCCCCAAATATTTGCATGGGAAGTCACCTCTACTACCGGTGAAGGGTGATAGGACTTGGTCTAGATCGACATTTCCACAACTGATTGGATGCACAGAGCTTTTTTCTAGATTAATATGGAGTCCTGAGAAGGTGTCGAATGCTTGGAGAATGATTTTGACAGCTTCTACATCGTCTTTTATTGGGTTGATAAAAATAGCCGCATCGTCTGCATACATAGAGGTTCTCCATTTTGCCGCCGTGATGGGTAAGGGGGTGAGTATCCCATGTTGGACTACTTGGTCAAGCAAGCGTTGAAGCGGGTCCATAGCCAGAATGAAGAGCATGGGTGAAAGCGGATCTCCCTGCCGGACGCCTCTGGCATGGCTAAAAGTGGGTCCTTGCCGCCCATTACGCAAGGCTGTCGAGGTGGATGTAGGGAGTAGAATAGAGATCCTTTCACGCCAGCATGGTCAGAAGCCAGAGCCTGTAGAATCTCTAGCAAGTACCCCCAATTTACCATGTCAAAAGCTTTGTGGATGTCCAGTTTCATGAACAAAGCCAGTATCTTCTGCCTGTGTAGCTTTCGTACTGCTCCCTGAACATAAAGAAAATTATCATGGATGCTTCTCTTTTTTATAAATGCGCTCTGGTAATTGGAGACGTGGGAGTTCAGTCGAGGGGCAAGTCTGCTAGCTAACAATTTGG